GTTCGGAGCTGATTGTTGGCTTAATTAGTTAATGTTTATCGTATTAATTACAGTTTGGATTATTGTAGTTTGTATGCCTACATCTGCTATAGAAAATACTACATTATTATGTGCTGTAAATACAATTATTTGTTCGTAGGCCTAAGATACTTTCCATTTCATTCCATCACGGTCATGCACGAGATGCGTGATTGGTTACTAGGAGAGCTAGTTTATAATTATAGAGGGCGCTACTCCACAGCATATTAACAGCTATTGTTTACCGTTGCACACGGCGTATTATCTACATCGTCCAGTTATTAATTGAGAAGTAGTTAAGATAGTGAAAGTATATTCAGTATTATTGCTGAGTACTGTGATATAATGGCTTTAACTAAATCTTAGTTGATGTATTAACATTTACGGTCAAAAAGTCAGGGTGATTATAATAAATGAAGATAAGTAATTAAAATAGTGAAGTTGTAGTACTGGTAGTACTGCATACTGTAGGTTGTTATTACTATAACTCTTTACTGAAACTGTTATTGTGTTATTGTTAATGACTATAAGAGAATTGTTGTTCTTATTCTAAGATGATGATTGATAGGTAAATAATTATTACATGGTAAATATTACATAACCAGTGTTAACCATCTACATGATTGTTACAGTGTAGTACAGGTAGCTTATTTTCTTCTATTTAGTGCCATCACTGGGTAGAGTGATCGTACTGTTTGGTTATTGTGAACGTATTGCTCAGGAACTGCAAAGCCGGGGTAAACGATGGTTTAAATGACGTTTCACAAAATCTTGTTATTAATATTGTGGTTGTATATTAATGTGATGGAAGTCTGCTACCTTGTATAATTGATGTAAAATGGAGGTTTCCATGTATAATAATGATACTATAAAATATATAATATGTAATATGTTCTCAACATTTCGTTAAGGTTAAAAGTGTGGAAAATGTTAATCAACGGCTTGTGACTCCCTGTCCACCGTTAATGAACTGGCATCTCTCCGATGACATACTTAATATACCATTTGCGAACTACATAAGATTAACAAATTTAAGCAATTTATTCATAATTACACATAAAGTTAAAGCAAATGTTAAATGATTTCAAGTTTATCTTATTGCACTAGACTGATGTTTATGTCTTATGCATTGCAGGTTTTTTTCTGATTGGAAAATAAAAGAATTTAAGATCGGCAATGGTGTTGTCATCTTTTTCCTGTTTACATTTGTATTTCTAGTATCTTTGCTATAATTCACATTTTTTCGTTAGCAACAACTTGGCAACGACATGCCTTTATATGCTCCAGCACAGCGGTTGTGCGATAAAGCGTTTGATTTTAACCCATTAAATATCTTTATAATAAACAATGTTCCCCTGATTGGATTTTGGATTTTTTTCCGGATTTTTAGTATGTTATTATTTGTATGTTTCAGGAACAGATTCCGCAAAATATTTATGTTTAAATTACTTCTGTGTTCATTATAATTTTGTCTAAAAATCGATTTGTTTGACTATAAAGCTAAGGCAGCGTAAAACTGAAAATTTTTCTGATTCTGCATTGAATTTTTGAACAGTTTAACCCTCTTTAACCCTAAAATGACTTAGTTTATTATAATCCTCAATCATTCCTTAAGTAATATCTGTTAACATTTTAATTATCATTCCTTAATTAATATCTGTTAAAATTGGAATTATCGAGTTTTATCCAGTTTATGGAAATTCAAGTTGCAATATACCATACTTTCAAAGCTGGTGTAAATGTTTCATTAAATTCGAAACTCTTTTTTAAAGAAAACATTAATATGTTTGGTATTTCTTGAAGGATCAATGTATTAGCTTCAAGGTGGAAACGATTGCGCAGCCATAGTGATTCACTGTAAGTAGTGCGCATTGAGAAATGAACGTGCTCTCCATTTCGCCGTGTTCAATCTTTTGGTAATCAAAGCCTGCTGAGCATTTGGTGGCGGGGAACTCATTAGACTTCAAAGGCATCGCGCAAACGTTCTTCACGCGATGGAGGTATTATTGAGAGGAGCACGCAGAGCTATGCAAATGAGCGAAGAACAAAGCTGCCGCAGCGCGTGAAGAGCGTTTAGGCGAAGAGATTATGGCCAAAAAGTCCTCTAAAAATCAACCACACCTGAAATAAAAAGCACACCAGAAACTGTATGGACTAAGACAATTGACATCCTTGAACGACGACCACTACCAACCTGCAAACCTCAAGTATACGGAGGAGACCCAATGATGTTTTTAACCTGGCGTAGATCATTCAAAGCTATGGTTAATGAAGCTAAAATATATCACGACAATAACAATTATTATCAGCATTTGCAGTACCCACTGCTTACTTTGAATCGAATTCAAGCCTGGCCATCAGGCGAAAGCTCAGTGGTCTAGAGGTATGATGCCAGGCCAGTGATCTGGATATCGTGGGTTCGAGTCCCACCCGAGATCAACTTGCAATTTTTCCGCAATTGTTTTCACACGTACTGAGTATTCAGTACATTTCCACGTCAGGTAGGGCAAAATTACACCTATAACATACAAGTTTATTAAAATATTTTTAATTATTGCATATGTGGCATAAATGTGATAAATACATCCTTATTTGGTTTTACAGTACTGTATTTATATGACACAATATTTTAATCATTAAAAACTAATACTGTATCAATTTTGTAGCCGACGTGTTGTTGTGCAGTCAATAAGTATTGTGCTTTCAGTTGAGTATTTTACAACAGTTTGACATAAATTTATGACCCACAGCTTGTGTTTTTGGACAAGACACCTTCTAATTTTGCCTCATATCACCCAGGACTACAAATTGGTACATGGTAGGATGTGGGAATTCGATAATTATGATAAATATAAAATATATCTTATACATTTCAGATGTTTGACACAGAAGTGGTCATTAAAAAAATAGTTTTAGCGTTAATTTAGTAGCCAAGTATATTGCATCTTTTGGATTATTGCACTTTTTTCCCTTTCATGACGACATACTTCAGTGCATGTTTACCCGTCTATAAAACAGATGCAGTTATTATAACGTTCAGTGTATATTAGCTAAGGCTGTTGGTCACCCAGGACAACAAATGGGTACCTGGTAGGATGTGAATGATTCGATAAATATGATAATTATTTAAAAAAAAAACCTTATAAAGATCAGATGTTTGCCACGATAACTGTTTATGATAATACTGTATATAATTTTTTTAGATTCTTAATTAAATACCAGCTATCTAGTCTTCTGTTACTACTTTGTCATTATGTGGATTATTACAGTTTTCTCCACTTTCACAACGACATACTTCAGAGCATGCTAACCCATCTATAAAACAGATGCAATTATTTGAACATTTAGTTTTTTCCAACACACCCACAAAAAAAAAAATCGTGTAATTTATCTAAAGCTGTTGGACCTTTAAAAAAACAGGTTCAATAACACCTTCATGGTTTTTCTAACCATTTCCAATAGGTTTAGGCAATTCTGGCTTTGGAACATGCGAATTGCACCATGTTTTTGTCTGCCATGAGGCACGCTTAACATGTTGTAAGAATGATGCTTCACAAGGTGGAAGTTTAGACACCAAAGTACAACGTGTTGAAGCCATGCGAACTCGTAGCTTATTAAGAGACTTGTGTGTTCCTTTAAATTTCAAAGCTGGGTCATAAAGTGCAGTTACAAACTCTGTGGAAGAGCTTATGGTCTTAACTTCATTATCGCATTTAAGTGTTTGAAGATTCTTTAACTTTTCCTTTGGAAGTTTTAGTAATGTCTGAAATACAGTTTTTTCCCTACTCCAAAAAATGACGAGACGGCATCACACCATGTAAGTGCATGTACAGCTGGCAATACCTTGCAAATATCTTCTCCAATCTGGCTTGCAATTAGGTGTACAGGGATATATCTTCTTAAATCAAGCATCTTCATTACTTGTCCTGTCTCAAACCATATTTCCTGAACAGCCTTCATTTCATGGCAATAATATGTCAAAAGAACCAGCACGTCTGTATCCGGTGATTGAACAACTAGACGCCCTACGCAATTTAAAGTGGTCATACGGTTGTTAAAATGTGTGGCATGCAGCATTATCCGCGTATCAGCCTCAGTTTGTGTTGAAGATAGCTCTTCTACAATAATGCTGACTCCTGTGAAATCTATCTTCTTTGTTGCCAATCTTGATGAATAACCCCCTGCAATAAATAATTTGTGATATTTTGTCTTAAAGACTTCTGGGTGTTGGACTGCCTTTTCTTCAACATAACTTGAAATGAAGTTAGTCAGTTCCCCTTTATTGTGAGAAACACCCATGAAGGTTTTCCATTTTGGAAGAGCTCTGTTCTCTTCAACATGGTAGTGGTACTGATTTCCAGAGCCACGTCTACGATCTCTCTCTTCATCTTTTGGCGAAAATTCATCGTCATACCTGTCGAAAATCAAATGTACTTCTTCATATGAATGAAACAGATTTGTAATTTTTCCAAAGCAAGAGTTTGCAATATCAGAAAATGTTGTCATATTTCTTACATTCATCTTTTGCAACTCGGCCATTCCATCTATCAGAACAGCAGATGTTACATATGTTTGTGGAAGGGTTGTTGCTGATTGTTTTCCTATTTCTTCCATGACATGAAGAAGATCAGATTTGTTGGTTCTACGCTTGCTCCCATCTTCCTTGAACAATGCTGGAGGAACAGATGTTACCGGGTAACTTAAGACTGTGTTTAAATTTATATCTGGTCTAACTTTAGACAATGAGAGTGCTCGCTGATAGATAAGTTCTGGGGACACGGCTATCCTTTTGTTTTTCCCTTTGATTTTGACATTTGTGGTTTTCATCATGATTTTGAGAGTTTTCAACCCAGATCTGGTAATTGGCTGATAAAATGATGTGTTCTTCTCAAGATTTTGAATAAGGCGGGATTTCAGAAAGTTATCCAACATCTTTTCACCCTTTTCTACAGCTTTCAACAATGAATCATTAATATCTGATGTAGCAACAAGGCCAGTACCAATGTTTACTAGAAGCGATGGGTGTGACGATGTGTTGAAAGGATCTGTCATGTTGTTCTTAATGTGACTAATTATTTGTTGAGCATCTGCTTCATCTCTTTTCATCATGGCTGGTTTAGTTTGCTCATGGAATGTCGTATCAGGCATTTTTAAACCACTTCGGAGATGCATATTTCTGGAATACTCCCCCAGAATATGGCGAATACACGTCCACCTAAGGACAGCTGATTCTTTACGGGTTAACCCGATTATTCCGCTGTCACCTTTACTGTCTTTGATTATGGTTGATTCCACTGCCATGTCAGTCCAAGTTCCTTTAAACTTTCCTGAAGTTTGTCTTACTGGAAATTTTCCATTGTGAAATGCTTCAGACACTGACTCGGGAAGATAATGGAGCATTTCCACAGCATATAGTGTGCCCCAACGTGCATAATTAGGTCGATCTGCTACAAAGAAGTACGGCAGCATGCTAAAAATGCTAGATAAATGTAATTTCCAATCACCTTCTCTTTCAGCTCTGATGTTAGAGAGAACTATTTGCATTGCAATTAGGAAATTATCCCAGAATGCAAAAGTTGATGATGCTTGTCGACCCCACGCTACAAATTCTTTCAAAAGTGGGAGTAGTTTTTGTTCCACTGTAATTGTAAGATCAGTAATTATCTCTGGTGACATGTCCTTCTTTGTTACAAATTTCTCTTGTACATTGCACAGATGAGTTATGGTCTCTTCCAGATCTTTGAATGTGTGGTGTTCTTCTACCCACATCAGAAAATTACCAATTAGCTGTTGAATTAGAGCCTCAAAAACTAATGTCAATCCTCTAATTGCTCGATGAAATTGTTTTCCAGATAGCATCATCTCGACACTTGCTGGGGCATACACATTAGAATCTGCCAGTATGTCTCTCAAACCAGCATCTCCCCAAATTTTTCCAATGCAAGCAATAAAGGTTGCCATCGTATGGAATCCACCAAGTCGGACAATGAGGTTGGGAAATTCATGTTGATGACTTAATCGGACCATTTGTGCAATAGCATATAGTTGTTGATCAAATGTATGCACATGACAAAGCTGGCCACACTTTTCCACCAAGTCCTTGCCTCGTTTGAGTGTGGTGTATACAGTGCTCATATCAGATGGAGGAGCTTCTATAATCGGAGGATATGCAATAAATGAAACACTTTCCATATTTCTTGAAGAGACAATAGAATTGAAACCTGTCCAGGAGGAAATGACTTGATCGTGAGAATAGTGCACACTTTGTGGTACATGATACACTCCTCGTGATACTTGGCGTAGCAAAGTCCATACAATGTCTTTCGTACAATGAAATGGTAAAAGCTTTTTCACGTACTGAGTGACGACATTTGTTCCCATAGGAAGACGGGATGGTTCTGGGCGAACCTTTGGCTTTTCAAATGGTAATGTCCTCAAAAATGTGGTATCATTGCATTTAAGTGTTTTATGTGTCGACCGTTTAAGTTTATGGATGAGAGGCTGCTTGTGCCTTGGATCCTGTTCTTGGAATATGACTCTTGCCATTGAATGATATGTGTTCTTACCATCGATCGTCTCCACATTTATATCAACGTTGTCATCGCCCTCCTGTATCAAACTACCTCCTTCTTGCATGTTGACAATCCCTGGTGGTACATAAACACCATCATTTGCTCTAGAAATTTGCGCCTCAGCAGCTACTGTTTGAAAAATCCTCAATTCGTCATAACTCGCACACATTCCATATGCATTAAGAGTGTCTATTAGGTTTCTACTTCCATATTCATGCTGTAGTTGAGTCATAAGACCAATATGAAACGGTGGGATGACTTGAGATTTCCCACGACGAGAACAGTATACAATACATTCAGCAAGGGAAATATACCGTCGTTTAACATCTTCCGAAGAAACGTGATCAATATCTGATGAATTAAAAGCCGTTTTATCACATAGACACTGAATAAATCTCTGCAACCTCTTTGGCAGGAAGGCAGCGGAAGTATCAATATTAATTTCGTGTGCGCTTGGGTAGTAAATTGTTGGTTCAATCTTCTCTATATCATTCCGAAGGATACTAACCGCCTTGTGAAGAATATGATCTTCGTTCTCAACTTCTTCCTCAGCTTCATGTTCAATGTCAGATTCCATTAAATCTTGCACACTTTTCATTAGGCACCCTACCGTTAAAGAACTAGAGCAAACAACATCAGGTCTCCCTCTCTGGCTATAAAATGATAAGCAGCTACCATATAACTTCAACAACTTTTCCTTAATAAAAAATGACCTTGCTTGTACCTTTAAACTTGCATCACTATTTACAATACATTCATTATAGAATTTTCTCATGTCACAAAGAAGAACAACTTTTCCACTATCGAATGCATCTTTGAAATGTAAGAATGTTGTTTTCACAAAACTATCTATGGTTGAATCAGTAAACTCCTTCTTCAGAGTGTGTGTTCTTGCATTAACATTTCTTTTACAAGTGTATGTTTGATAACACAATTTATGATATTTTGCCTTTTTTGCAAAAATATCCTCTTCAAATAACAGACGTTGAATGACAATTTGGTCGTTTATTGCCCTAGCAGTATCTAAAACCTTTTGCCGAACTTTCTTTGGTTTCAAGTTTACATTTGACAATATTTTACCCTTTTTTCTATTTTCTGGCTTACCACATATAAAACATTGTTCATCCCATGAAAACAATGACATTACTCTAGTTATCTTTGATTCCTTGGGATTGGGATTATTTTCATCTTGTCGTCGTTTAAGTGCAAGACTACGCTTACGTGTGTCTGTGTATGTAGACCGACACTGAAAATGAAATCGAACTTTTAGCATCTGTGAAGTACCTCGGATATGTTGAACAATATCTGCTACCTCATCCTGACGCTCGTCACATGACTTCAGCAACGTTGACAATCCTTTTTGTGTGATTTTATATTCAAGTTCTCTAGCTGATAGCGGTCCCCTTGAACCTCTGCAAATTAGACATACATCTCTGCCAAGGCTTTTTAGTATCGAAGACCTTTCCATTTTCAAGTAGATATCTGCCAAATAACATATTTTGTAATACTCAATTTGTTCTTAACAGAATAAATATATTATATTTTAATGTTTATAACTATATTATTAATAGAATTTTTAATGAATAATAAATTATTGTGTAGAGAAGTACATAATATGTGATGAAAAAGGCCTTTATAATTTTCCGTATTGTTTTTATGATCTAAACTACATTGAATAAAACAATTAACTTTATTTATAAAAAATAATTAAATATGCTCACCTCAACTGTATTAATGAATTTATCACCTCTGCAAATGGTAAAAATCCCTCTCAAGGCTTTCAGTTCTCCTCATGTCTGTATCAGTTTGTCTACCAAATAACATGTAGGCCTAATGTATTCAAAGATGGAATTATTAGTATTTTACCTTTGCAATCCAAAGTTCAAATTTCGACTGGGCCTTTTTATTTTTATTTATTTGACAATAATAATTTTCTTTAAAATCTACAATACATGAAATAATAGTAATAAAATTGTTATATTTCTTATTATTATCTTACCGAAACCTAACACTTACCTTAATTATATTAATGTATTATATGTATCAGCTATGAAAATGTTACACATCCCTCTAAATGTCTTCAGTCCTATTGATGTTCAATCAAATTTCTGCCAAATAACATTTTTTTTAAATGGGATTTTAATTAATATATATTAATTGTGTAAACAATATTATCTATGCAAGCTAACATTAGGCATTTTTCATGCAACAAAACTGTATGTTTCATTTTGTAAAATATGTATTACAAACCTCCATTGTATAAATTTAGCTATTTTTAAAGCTAGGTGTTCTGTACCATTCTGTACGTTTCTGAAAAGGTTTCTGTTGAAAAAAAAATTGTGTAAAGACCTACATTATACTGTTGATTATTAATTGCATATTTTTACAATTTTTAGGTCACTTTTCTTTCCTAACAGATTAGATTACGATTATTCTGATTGTAATTTATATTTCCAGGCATGATTTTAAATTATATATCTAAGCTTTGTAAACATGTTTGTCATAGCTACAAATCCAGCGTAGGCCTAAAACCTACTGGGCGTAACTAAAGATTGCCCCACTAGGCATGGCCTAGGCATACGCCTACCAGAGCCTAAGCATAGCCTAGAAAAGCTGCAATCAAGAGGCCTAGAATATCACTTAGAATCTGGCCTTAAATTCTAAATTTATATTGTAACTTTAGCATATTAACTTCTTGAATTATATCTGTATGTTGTCTACATATAAATACAACAAACAAATGGGGAAAACACAAGAAACTTACCTCGTTTGTAGGCCTAATAATCTAGGCCTACTGCTTGTGAAACCTTCATGCCGGCCTTGCATGTGCTTCAAAACTTTCAGCCAATCAGAGAACACGCCTAATGTGTCATTGGTTGCTATAGCGATAACCTCATATTTTGTATCTTATAATGCCTACCAATCCATTAAAATAATATTTTCTTTATAATTATAATCTGAATATATTTTTAAACAGAAAAATTATAATAAATTACAGTTCTGCATTTTTTCTACAATTGTGGTATTTTTTTTCTTTGTTGCTATGGAGAAAATAATCACTTTGCACTAAAATTTCGGTTTGTTTTTAAAATGCATATATACATAACCATAATATATGGCATTCATAGATAATCAATATAAAAAAAATATTTACAAAAACTATATCTATAATAATATATATAAACTTTTATCGGTTGTTTCACTTAAATTTTATTGAAAAAACATGTGATTTTAAATATGCATAGCAACGGTTGCTATGGTGATTGAAACTATACATTTTTGAATGACATTATTCATTTTCTATCATCAATGAATGTTAGGTGTAAATTTCAGGTATAATTGTTTTTTTGTTTTTGAGTAATGTCATCTTAACCTGAATTAAAATAATATCATGATTTAAAGTGAAAAAAGGGCGGCCATTTTGAATGCGTCATTTGAAGGTGTTCCCCCAAAGGGATTCTGGGTAATTTTGAGTTCTGAACTTCTCAAGACCCTATATTTTCAGAAAATATCAAAATTAGCCGGTAGTAC